CGCGTGGCTCAGCGACAGCCCCGAAACCTGACAGATCTAGAGGAGATCTGTGTGGAGGAGTGGGCCAAAATCCCTGTTGCAGTGTGTGCAAACCTGGTCAAGAACTACAGGAAACGTTTGACCTCTGTAATTGCAAACAAAGGTTTCTGTGAGTGGAGTAGAGGTGGACTTTTTCAAGGCACAGTAACAGGTCTTTGAGAGCCAGAATTCTTGCTGTTTCTCAGGTGTTCAAATACTTATGTTCAGCAGTGCAAGACAAATCAATTCTTTAAAAATCATACAATGTGATTTCCTGAAATTTTTTTTTTATTCTGTCTCTCAGAGTGGGAATGCACCTACAATGTGAATTTTAGACCCCTCCATGATTTCTAAGTGGGAGAACTTGCAAAATCGCAGGGTGTTCAAATACTTCTGTTCCTCACTGTATGTCACAAGGCTTCAACACATTCTGTTCCTGCCCCCAGTCGTCCTTAAAATTAGATTCCATGTCATAGGACAACTGGCCATGAACATAGCTGCAAATCCGACTTAAACACCTGTTATTACTTTTCATTTACAGGTCAGGTTTGGTGCAATAACTACAACACTGATGTTAAAGACTGCCATGCTAAAATTTGATGTAGTTAAAATATGGTACTTAAAAAAAAAAACAAGTAAATGGATCTTGAATTAAGATTATTCTGGCAAACTACTACTGTATTTTCAAAGTAAATACATTTTAATGTTGTTAAAATGTTTAAACAACTCTTTTATTCACTGTCAGTCTTTTTACCTCATGATTATGATTTTTTGTAACATTGTGGATAAAATTTCTATGTATCTGTTACAATGAAGGACTGAATGTATTAGAATATGTGTATGCTGTATGTGTAGGGACTGTGATACAACCCAGCTGCACAGCTGTTGCACATTTGCTCTATGTAGTTTGCTCTTCTTGATACACTCACCAAGGGGCAGAAGACTGACCAGTGCCAGAAACAGACATGGTTCTGAGACATCTATTATCAGCACAAAGTAAAATACACATTTCCACCAATATACTAACTCAATTTGCACTGCCTAAACCTCCCACCTGCCTGCACCTCTCCTCCCTCCTGTACACCATGTGCCTGGCACCATAATCCCACACAGATGGGCAAAGCTAATTTCAAGAACAGAAAAGAACCAGACTGTGCTGCTTGCACTGGTTGCTGCACCGCCTCTACAGCAGAGCCTTTACAGCAGAGCCTTTAAAATAGAAAAGGCCTTCCCCAACATTACACTGCCCACCACAGCTGAACCAAGAAATCAGTCCACCCCATAATGAGGAAATCCCTTCTCTACAGAAGAGCTGATGACAGTGTGCATCTGTACTGGTGTGATGAGAAATTCCAGCAGGCAGAGAGAGAACTGAAGGACAGCAGAGTGAAAACATAAGGAGAAATAGCAGGAAGAGAGTGAGAGGCTACAACATCTTTTGTCTGGGAACACAGTCATTATTAACCAAATGTTCTGGGTGAAAAGAGACAGTGTTTGGTTATAAGTGAGGACTTGGCTCTTGGGGGAACTATGGTGGAAGTTAAGTAGGTATTGTACTCATAAAATGAAAGAGAATTAAATTCCTGCAGCTGGCTCACTATTTTCTAGTGCTAACATAAGCGTTTCAAAGGCCACATCTCTTTTGGTTTTCTCTTACATTTTCTACTGTATATTTGCTCCTTTCATATGTCGAATCTCTGTTGTGAGTCTTTTGATAGTTTTACTATTTTCTTTGCTATATTTTGAGGTACAGAAGCTGTTTTAGTTTGAAGTTTATTCATCATCTTCGTATTTAGACCAGATCTGACTAGGTGCTGCGTGAACTGTGAATACATAGCAATTATTTTTAACACTCACTCAGAGTGGAGCACTGATAAACAGTCAATTATTTTAATATGACTGAGCCTCATCATTACCACTAGGGTTAGCCCAACTATACACAACAGTTAATTGTAATCAGGACTATATATTAAATACATCATCATATTTATGGGCACAATTATGTCTCCTAACCTGGAGGGGTCTTTGGTCTCAGAGAGGATTTGCAGCAGCTCCTCGTTGGACAGGAAGAAGAACCGAGGAAAATAGAGACGCTTCTTCTCCAGGTAGTTATTAAGACCTTTAATGATCATCTCCAGAATCCCGTTTGACTCTTTTAGCTTCTCCAGCATCTTGTTGATGGCTACCACTGCCAACACATGCTTGTCCTAACACAGACAAGAGAAAACAGTGCTTAAAGCAACAATTTACTTTACTGGTCAGGTACTTTTAATTTATTTCAACAATCATTTCTGAGGACACCCACCAGCATTTCATTACCAACTCCTAACAACAGGTAGTTAGTATATTCATCTATATACATACAGTATATATATTTCAAAAACATAAATTGACATGTCTGAGCCTTTCTGACAAGTTCAAGTCCACTTAGACAAAGTCCAAGTTTCAGGTATCCATCTTCAAAGTCATAAAGTCACACAACAGCTAAAAACCTCCCAGAAAACTACCTGCAAAATTTCACATAGATTTTAAACATTTATTTCATTGGACACGTGACCATCTTGAATTGTAAACACTTTTCCTGTAAAGTATAAAAGAATCATAAAAATAGGAAAACATGTATTTTCCATTTAAACCCTAATATTACTTCCAAGATATAAAGAAACTTTAGAATATAGTGTAATTTTTTTTGTTTATCAAGGAAACATGACAGGAAGATGGATGTGCTTTGTTCATCTTTTTCCAGCAGAGCAGTGTTGTCACCGCTGCCTTGAAGGTAACACTAAAAACCAGCAATATCTTTTAGCAACATCCACCCTGTGCTCCACAGCGAGGCACCGCTTGTCACACAGCACCCTAGAAAAAAACTCTGTGATGGGACAGTAATAGAGATTTCACCTGAGGCATGTCTAGCACCCATGAAATATTTCAGCTCTGACATCATCTCATCTGTACATTAATGCAATATCCTGTGGAAATGTCAGCCCCAGGAAGTGTCCAAATAAAAATCTATCTAATCTTCAAGGTTGGACATCGAATGCCTGAATCTGTGCACATGAAACTGTCAGTGACTCTGAAATGAAGTGCACAGCTCTGAATGGGATGGAATAAAATACAGGAGGGAGAAAAATGCAGAGATACTGTGCCATCAAGGAGAAAACACAGAGTAACAAAAACATGCCTTTCTTATCTTACCTGTTACTGCTGACAACCAATAGGAATAAAAGGAAGTAGTATCAAAGAAAGAAAACTTTGTTCTCTTGCTCTGCTCTCATTAATCCATCCCTCCTATAAATTTATATAGGAGAAAATCACAAATCTTTGGTATTGTCATGTTTATTTCTTTTGTTTGAACAACACACAAAGAATTAGAGGAAAAAAAGAACAAATCTGATCCATTCTACCCAGAACTCCAAAAATGAACTGGACAAAATTATTGACACCCTCAACTTAATATTTTGTAGCACACAAAATACAGTAACTGTGAACAAAATAACTGAAATCAATCACTTCCTGTAACCATCAGGGAGTTTCTTTCACCTGTCTACTGGAATTCTGGACCACTCTTCCTTTGCCAACTGCTCCAGGTCTCAGATTTGAAGGCTTCCTTCTCCCAGCTGCTGTTCTGAGATCTCTCCACAGCTGCTCTATGGAATTTAGGTGTGGACTCATTGCTGGCCAATTCAGAACTCTCCAGCTCATTGTCTGAAACCACTTCATGTGCTTTTTGAAGTCTGCTTTGGGTCACTGTCCTGCTGTAAGACCCATGACCTCTGACGGACACCAAACTCTGACACTGGGACCTACACTGTGCCCCAGAATTTATTGGTAGTCTTCAGGTTTCATAATGCCATACACACAGTCAAGACATCTAGAGGCTGAAGCAGCAAAGCAACCCCAAACCCTCAGTGAACCTCCACTGTGTTTGACTGTAGGGACCATGTTCTTTTCTTTGAAGGCCTCATTTAGTTTTCTGATAACAGTAGAATGATGTGCTCGACCAAAAAGCTCTATTTCAGTCTCATCTGACCACAGCATATTCTCCCAGAAGGACTGTGGCTTCCTCAGGTAAGTTTTGGCAAACTCCAGTCTGTCTTTTTTATGTCTGTGTCAGCAGTGGGTCCCCTGGGTCTCCTACCAAAGCATTCCTTGTCATTCAGATGGCAACAGATAGTGCAAGCTGGCACTGTGGGCACTGCAGGTCAGGCTGAATTTGTTTGGAAGTCAATCGAGGTTCTTTATCCACCATTTGAACAATTCTTCTATCTGTAGAGCAATCTGTCTATTCTTGTCTTTCGTCCACATCCAGGGAGATTAGCTCCAGCGCCATGGGCTGTAAACATCTTGACAATGTTGTGCACAGTGGACACAGAAAGAGCCAGATCTCTGGAGATGGACTTGGATCCTTGAGACTGTCCAGGATTTTCCACTAATGTGGTTCTCAAATCTTCAGACAATTCTTTGCTCTTATTTATTTTCTCCATGCTCAGTGTGGTCCACACCACACAAAGGTTGATTCACCCTTTCTCCAGTTTAACTGGTTACAAGTGTGACTTCTATATTGCCAGCACCTGTTGATCACTACAGGTGAGTTTCATTACAAATTACAATTACAATTACATGCTTGAAATACAACTATTTCTGTTGATTTTGAAAAGATGTCAATAATTCTGTCCAGTCCTTTTTCGGAGTTCTGTGTGGAATGGATCAGATGCCAAATCAATTTTTTCTCTGCTTTTTTTGTTGCTCCAGTGTAAACAAAAGAAATAAACATGACAATACCAAAGAATTTGTGACTGCAACAATTTTCTGTGAGAAGTGGTGCGTTATCTTACAGAAATTCAGGGATGCCAATTATTTTGGCCATGATTATAGATACACTCCAGGATGGGTACAGTTCTCATATTACTTGAATACACAAGGTGAAAGTAGGGGAGAGTCAGTGGGACATCACTTCCCTGATCAACATGTGAGTTGGACATAATCTTCCTGGGGAAGTGCATACAGGGTTATGGGGTTCTTAACCAACATTTCTCAGGTTGAAGCAGTTTCCTGGATGGGTAGTTAAACATTTCAAACTAACAAGAAAGAGGTCCAGTTGCCATAGCTCAACATCCTTGTGTCTGTGGTGCTTTTAATCTACAAATGATAAGCTTTCCAAAGAGTTTCACATTTCCTAGCAACATGCATTGTAATGTTAAGAAAAAAAACATCTCCTTATCAGTACTATGTCTTTACAAAATGTCTACAGCTATTAATCAACTACAAAAGACATTACAAATATATAATGATGTTAAGAGTTTAACAAAAAAGAAAAATCTACACTGCGGACATTCAATGTTGGGCAATGTTTCTAATGCAAATAATTTCACAGGAACAGATGCTCTGGAAATCTGTCTACAGCCTACAATCAATGCTTTAGGGAAATCAACAAATAGTGTTGGCTGGCACAGTTTCTGATTTGTAAGGGGCTAACTGTCCATTAAAAGGAGGTACAGCTACTGAAAGACACTTACAATCTCCTCAAGTTCTGTTCAAAAAGTGTTGTGGAATCACAAAAGCTCTCTAGAAGGAGATAATAATTACTTTTGATCTCTCATGATTACTATTGATTTTTGAGAATAACTGAAGTAGAGGCAGCCAATGTTGCCTCATTTTAAAGTGACTTTTTCCCTCTGGGAAAAAAAAAACATATAATACAAGTAATAAGGAAATAGTATAGCATGAATGTGAGATTAAAATCATTTTAGTTTTTTATGAGGCAGTAGTCAAAAGAAGAGTCTTTAGATACAGTCATTGACACTCAAATGCTAAATCAAATGAATCAAATGAATGAATGAAATGCTCATTATCTAAGACCAAGGATTAGATATGCATGCAAAAAGCCTGATTTGATTGTGTTTCAGTGGGCCATACAAGTACACAAGCTAAGGATGTCTGATTAATGAACTATGATTCTGGCTTTTCATAGATTTCATCAGACTTGTGATTTTGGCACATTCTTTAAGAGGGCAATATAATAAGAGGGCTGTTTTTATATTCACTCTGCCAGCAGGAGGCTATTCATGTGCACACTGAAGGGATAACAATGTTCTAATGCATGTATTATGCGTGATGATGTCGTTTATATGCACCAAACAGATGGCTTAAAATGGGGGGCAGGAACTATCTACAGCTAATATAGAAGGACTGCAATCTGTGTGGGGAAAACAGAAGCCCCCCAAAAGTGTTTCTTTGTTCTCAAATGATACCCATGCATCCACGACATAAAATATCTTGCATGTCCAAGACACATTCTGCAGAGTACTGTATCTGAGCATAAGTGTGATATTCAGTAATGTATTCTTTTGCTGACTATTATTATGTTATTGTGTGAATCCATCAGCCTATTAAAAAACAACAGGTCAGTCATCTTCTCCATGAGCTCAAGGGTCAACTGTTTTTCCCTTACTCGGTTCATTAGAAAAGGCAGTGTACTGCACTGCATAGTTAAAAAGAAAGAGGTTGACTGAAATAAGCCATTTAAATTGATTAGGTCCTGTTTTTATCTGCAAATGTGCATGCAATTGGAGTAAAATGACACATATAAGCAGGCAACAAATAAAAAAAGTGCTGGAAGGTGCTGGAAGATCAGTGGATCTTGAGCAGCTCCCAGTGGTTGATCGGGGCAAAAATAGCCTGGGCTAAAACAGTACATCTTTATCTGATTTTTGGGTAGGAGAGCTGCACTATAGCCAGCTTTTCTGCTCACACTGCTCTGTGATAGTATGTCACTCAGATGATTCCAAGTTCATGCACTACTGATCAATATTTTGCTAAGCAAGATGAAAGGAAGTGTTACCTATCAGACTTGGTGCAGTATAAGCCTATGCAGAAAGATGATGTTCCTGTTACTGGACTACATGGAATGGTGAAATAGAATTATCAGTTTTGAATGTAGCAAAGAACTGGTTATTACAGAAGGAGAGCATAATGGAAATCATAATTTTACTTTCCATAATTATTCATCTTGGTATATCAGCAGTATTGAACATTTTCCATTGTTAATTAAAAATATTTTAATGCAGAGAAGAGATGCAAAACTGTTGTTTAGAAAATCATTTAGACACATACTGTAACTGGTGCAGAGAAACCACACTGCTGCAATGTCCCAGGGAGCAACTTGATTTCATATTCCCACTTTTGGCATTTGAGATCAGTGATATCTAACTACAGAAGTTAATTTTCCTACAAACTGTCATAACAGGTGGCTCTATATATCCAATGTCTATGTTAGCAGTCATGCAGTGTATAAAGTGCAAAAAATTACTCACAGAATCATCTGCAAGATCGATTAATCCTTCCTGACTGTGTAAGCCCATTAAGGTAACTAAGCAGCTGTTTAACAAAATACAAATCATACTCAGCAGTAACATCATACACACAGGGAAAATTTCTGGTAACAAAGTCATTTTTGCAGTGTTTGATCATATACGTAGATGCACATCAATAATGACCAACCAGACTTACACAGTGTATAGTACCTATTTAGTTCATCATTGGATGTAACTGTATTTCTATATTTATAAAAATTCCTGCAAAGTCTAATATTGGCACAATATATGAGAGTGATTTCCCAGCATACATACAGTATACACTGAGTTAACCACACCTCATTTAAGAAAAGCCTGATAAGCATGCAAAACAGGGAGACCTTTTCCTGAAACGTGTTGGGTGCAAATCCAAGTACCAACAATTGTACCAACATGCTCCATAAGACTACACAACTCTCAGGAGATTAGACAGTATGCATGCACATCTGTGTGTAGGCTCCCTGTCCCTTTGTGACCTCATTTTCTTTGTGGCTCAGTATAGCCCTGCCCCTTCCAGACAAAATCCATAATTTCTATTTGATGGTGCAGTCAGCCTGGGCTTTCTGGAGGACACTGCCTGAAATTGATGTGTCTCATTTCAGGTCTACTGAGGATGCCAATTACCCTTTGGAAACTCTTTGAGGATGCCCGTGCAACACTCACTTTCTATCCTCATTCTGTTGTTTTTGCTTTGCTCGCTATCCTTTTCCTGCTCTCCTTTTCTTCCTTTTGTTTTCAGCTTCTATATTATATTTCTACTGTATTCATTTTATGCACAATTTACTGTGTTGCAAATTCAATGTGAAATGGATAAAAAGTTTTGCCCATCAATCTAAGTAGCCCCTAATGACAAAGTGAAAGTGTTTTTAGAAGTTATTGCAAATTTATTAAAAGTCCAAAATTGCTATGTCTTTGTTACAAATCCATTCAAACCCTTTGCTGTGGCACTCCACACTGTAGCCAGGTGCATCCTGTTTACTTTAATTGTTCTTGAGATATGTCCAGAACTTTACTGGAGTCCACCCATGACAAACTAAAATAACTGGACATAGTTTAGAAAGGTAAACACCTGTATATATAAGATCCTACAATTTACAGTGCACATCAAGCCATACATACCAAGCCAAGAAGTCCAAGAAACTCTCTGTAGACCTCTACAATAAAATCAGTGTTGAAGGCATAGATCAGAGAAAGGGCATAAAACCATTTCTAAATCTCTGAGTGTTCCCAAAAGCATGGTGGCCTAATTGTGAAGAAGTTTGGAACCACCAGGACTCTGCCTAGAGTTGGTGATTCACCCAGACCAAGCAACTGTGCAAGGAGGGACTTGGTCATTGAGCCTCAGAAGTCCTCTGTAGAGGTGGGAGAACCTGCTGGGAGAACAATCAGGCCTTTATTGTGGAGTGGCTAGATGGAATCCACTTTGACTAAAAGGTATATGTCAGCCTGCCAAACTGCTTTAAAGGCCTCTGAGAGCATGAGGAAAAGATTCTCTTGTCTGATGAGATAAAAATTAAACCCTCTGAGGAGAACTCTATGCACTATGTCTAGCAAACGCCAGGCACTGCTCATCAGCTGGCCAATACCATCTCTAAGGTGAAGTATAGCGGTGGCTGCATTATGCTATGGGGAGGCTTCTCAGCAGCAGGGTCAGGGAGACTGGTCAGAACTGAGGGGAGGATGAATGCAATCACATAGAGAAAGGTCCTTGAAGAAAATCTGCTCCAGAGTGCACACAACCTGAGTCAAACAGCCAAGACAACACTCAAGTGGCTTCGGGACAGGTCTCTGACTGTCCTCGAGTGGCCCAGACAAAGCCCTTAAACCTCATACAGCATCTGTGGAGAGACCTGAAGATGGCAGCATACAGACACTTCCCATCCAATCTGATGGAGCTTTAGAGAATCTCCCAGGAAGAATGGGATAAACTAGCCAAATCCAGGTGTACATAGCTTGCAGAGACTTACCCAAGCTGCCACTGCTGCCACTGGGTTACTTTTGCAAATGAATGCAAATTTAAATTTGCAAAGAATTTCTATAGACACGTTTTCATTTTGTCACTGAGTGGAGCTCCTGACAATGATACTGTACATGTTATGAGAAAAAAATACAGCAACTGTTCTGTAAGAAATTGATTCATTTTAATTGATTAAAATGGAATATGGCTTTTCTTTATTCTGATATTATTAAACTGATTTACACTGGGCTGGGGTTAAAAACGATTAATAGATAAGTTAAGTCTTAGTTATTTAGTTAGATCTTATAGCTTGTGTTTGCACTGGGGTTTTGATTGTCTTCATGTGTGATCAGCCCTTTCTGAAATGTTAAGGACATACAAAAAAATTACAGCAGGCATAGGTCTGCACACCATATAGCACTGATGTTATCCACAGCAACAATCCAAAATATGACTGCTTTTCTCTGATCATTAACTTATCCAAAATTTTCCTAGGTAAGGGTAGTTTTATTGTTTCAGCAAACTACTACTGGTTGGTCTTTGGAGTCCAGTGATTTCACTACCTGATGCACTCAGATGAACCAAAGATCGGCCAAAAAGGAGAGGGCCTCTTCAGCACATGTACAACACTACACATGGCTACACAGACAGTTGGTTTAGGGTTTTAATGCTCTATAACAGATGTTTAGTAGAGTTTCTGTCTTTTTGAATGTTTGTCAACCTTTTCAAAACTTTTCAGTTCATATACTCCATTAATATGTACTTTATTGTAAACTTATTTCATAGTCATTTTTGACATACCTGTTTTGTATACAGCACTATAGTTCACCACAGTTAGACTGTCATCCTGCCAGTAACTAAATGCACTCCTCTTACCTTAGTAATATCTGCCCTGGGAAATAGAGCCTGCTCCTGATTCCTCTTTCTGGATAGTGATATTTAACTGATCAAGCTAAGAAGAAGCTCATCTTTTTGCTCACACCCTTCCACAAAAAATTCTTTTTATTAAAGATGGCTTTCTTAATCAATTATTGCACCCTGTTGCGATAATAAAATCTTAGCACATCAAAATCAAACTCACTGAAACAAAATGAAATCAAATGAACTTACCAGGGAAACTTGTTTCATGGTGTCCCTAAAGGTTTTGTTGACAGTTGTGAAACGGCGTCCCTCTTCAGGCATCTGAGCCACGATATCTGGAGAGCTGAATATGGGCTCAAGGTAAAGCCAAGTGTCCTGTACTTTTAACCATTCATCCAGGATCTCTTGGAGAAGCAGCAACTTGCGCTCCCATTCCCTAAGATTAATCAGAAAAAATTATCACTGCCAAGTGGTACAGGGATGTGCAAATCTTTATGTGTATTTGTATTATCCTGCATTTAATGCCCGATATCTTCTGATGTAGAAATACAAACAGGGGTAAGGGTACATTAGTTGGGAGTGGCTTGAGGAGTACTTAAGAGTACTGTACTGACAAAGTGATGTCTTTATGCTCACTGTGCTGTCATCTCATCCTATCTCATAAAAAATATTGTTCATAAAGAATTTGCCTTTCAGTTACCACTTTAGAATACTATCCAATAAGGCATGGTAGCAACATAGCTAACATGTTGCAATCATCTCATAAATAATGAAGAAGGAGAATTTTTTTCATCTTCTTTCGAAAGAGAGAAAAACTGGAAAAGTAATGAATGAATTATACTTTATGCTGAATTAAAATCAATGTTTTCTAAGTTACACAGAGAATATTTTAACTAAATTTCTGAGAGAGAGAAACATTTCAGGTAGAGGTCTGTATAAGTGGTTAATTCACTCTTACTAATTTAAATGCTCCCGGTCAGACTGTCACTCACCTCTGCAGAGCAGAACAGAATACTGAAGAACTCTTTAGCAATATCTAAATTAATAACCTTTACAATTACGCCATTAAACTTTAACACAGACCTTGTACTACTCCCTTCAAAAGATTCAAGCGCCCCTAATCTCGGCCAGTATGGCTGTAGGTACTTTTTGGTAAGTGCGTACTTTAATCCACATGCTGTGGTATTTGTTCAGCAGTCATGTCCTTCAGGATTTAAATCAGCATCTATGAATGTAGATTTGTCAGTTTGTTTGCTAGTGTCCACTGCCGCCTATATTTTGGTTCAAAATCATAGAACAAGTAAACATTAAATTAGCACTCAGAGTGGTGGGCCACAGATGTCTGTGTTTGCTATGTAACTTCTCTGTGGCCTGGCATCAGGCAGTGCAGAGACTGATAGTTCTTACCGCATCTGCACTTCAAAAGGCTTAATGAAGGGTGAGCCTCTCATAGTTTGTGTCTTCACAATTTGATCATCCAATAGCATCTGGATGTCTCCCACAGATGTCAGAATGTAGGTGCCTGTCTCGCGGCAGGCCTGGAGACTGAATTCCATGTCAGCCCACTCACTCGCCATTTTCTCCATGGTCTTTTTCATTGAGTATTCCTTGCTGGCTGCCTCACTGATACGTTCAAAGCTACTCAGGTGCTGTTCCAGGTGCAAGGATAGGAAGTGAGCTACACAAGCCTGGTCATCAGATGGCTGCAGAGAGATACCAGCCACATCTGACATAGCATTCCAGTGGTGGTCACACAGGCCTGGGTTACATAATACCTGTAAAGAAAGGAAGAGTAGTACAAAGATGTCCACTAGAAATACATTTTAATTTAAACTATAATTTCTTAAATATAATAAAATAATGAAGCAGTTATTTTGACTCCTATAAATGATAAATTGTTCTCTCACCTGCACCATTGGAATGTGCTTCTTAAAGTCCTCCAACTTAGCCTTGATAGTGGTGGCTATGTTCATGGCTTTGGGAACTTCAGTGAAGCCCTTTTCCATTTTGTACATGGTGCGCCAGATGTTACCAATGTCTCCTTCTATCTACATGAGTGGGAATTGTATGACACCATATTATAACTAGAATGGCTATGAACTAATTACTGTCAACTGAATGAATATAAATAAGCAGTTTATTATACCAAATATATTTAAGAAGAAGAAGAAGAAACTTTATTTTATTGTGACACATGCAACGAAATTTTGTTTGGAGCCGAGGGCCCCGGCGTATGTACACGCCGCCATCACGGGCAACTTGGGGGTTCAGTGTCTTGCCCAAGGACACTTCAACGTGCACTGCAGGCACTGAGATTTGAACCTTCAACCTTCCGGTTGGGAGACCACTGTCGTCCCACAGAGTATTTAAGTAAATAACAAGTAAAGTAAGCAAGGAAGTAGGACAAACTAATGACCAGAAGATAGGTGTCAGTCATACAGATGAAAAGGTATCAGAAAGGTGGGAAAAGTCAGTCTTTTCAACAAAAGCAAGCATGAAGGAGTTGTAAACTTGTTTAATAGGGCCTGTTCTATGCTGCTTTGGATGGTTGCAAACTGGTTGCTATGGAGTTCTAGTTGGTAGCTGTCACAGTACCAGTGGTTACTAAGCTTTTTTAATTTAATTGCAACGGAGGTACCAAAGGTGTTGCTTGGATGAATGAGGTTATTGCTATGGTGATTCAGGGCAGATGAGAGTAAGTGTCAAGTGGTTGCTAGGAAATATGTGTTTGTAGTAGTCACATACTGTAGGTACAACTATTAGTGGTTGTAGTAGAATCAGCAGTTTGAGGGAGTAGTCATTGTGGGTACAGTTGTGTAGTCACAATTTATCTATGTGGACACATTCACAATGTGAGCAACAGCTCTCATGCAAGGCTTTTACTGCAGAACAGATCTACCATTCCTTACACACAGAATTGACAGCGCAAGGTTACTCACTGCTTAGATGACCAAGAGTAACAATGCACAACAATGCACACCTGTTTTCACTATTATGGAGCAGGTGAACTATTATGATGTCAGAAACAGAACAAATAATGTATATCTATCATACCTTCAACGCAACCCTTTGTAACACATCATAACCTTGTGGAACACAAGTAAAACAATACAACTTGAAAAGAAACATATGTTCTGTTGGCTGAAAAAACGAAGATGTTTCACCTCTCACCTAAGAGGCTTCATCAGTTCTGCAATTGTAGGACAAACCTTTCTGACCTAAAAATCTAGTCCAGTTGATTTTTTTCTAAGTTATTTTCAGCTTACTATGACCTGGATGACTGTGAATCTGCACAGACATCCCATATGTTCTGTTATTTAAAAAGTGTGATATGTGGAGAGAAGCAGCCTTTGCATTTAGTTTTCTTCATGAGCTGCCTCAGAAGGACTCGCACTCACAGAAGAGAAAGAAGAGAAGTGAAAGGATGTCACTGTCAAGAACTTCATATACAGTACATAGTGAAAGTCAGGGCTCTTCTAATTGTATGCAATATAAAGTAATCTTCCACTGCTCATACCTTGTTTGGGTTCACACCAGAGAGTGGCCCATGGACCCACTGCTTATACTGGTCCAGGAAATCATTTCCTGTCTCATAGAGATGCAGGAAAGGTGCAAGTTTGTCCTGGATCTTCTTGTGCTGTGGGTACTGTGAAACAGTCCAGCCATAGGCCTCCTCCTCTTGATTGAACTCATTAATCTTTCCAGAGTGGCAGAAGTATTCGAAGACAAGTAAGGATAGAAGGAAAAAAGAAACAAACAGGCATACAAAGAAGACAAATGGATAACAAATGCCCACTGCAGTGCCTGAGTTTTTAGTATAGCCAATGCTGCCCTCTAGAGATTAAATACTTGAAAGCACATACTGCAATTCAATTTTAACTGCAATAATCAACTGAACAATGACATTTATCTCTTAATCAGAATTCATACAACCTCTGCTCTTTAATGTAATTTGTGAACTGAAGTACTACTTAAAATTAAAGCTTATACTCAGCCTTGGTCCACACCATAAAAAGTCCCTTAACCACTTATGTAAGGTGTTGTGTTGATCCAGACCTTATGACACTGATATGCTATATGTCATAGTTTGGGTATGGCTATAACAGCGATTCGTCTGCATGAATGAACTGGCCTATTATCAGTCCCTATAGCCGACTTCTCTTTTTATTCTAGCCCTTTATTTTTGAGCAATAAAGTCCTGATATACCTTTTCCGTGGCTAATTCCAGTTTAGCATTGAGGGCCTGGGCTTTCTTCAAGTACTTGCTGAGATCCATCAGCTCACCAAAGGTGGCAAACTCCTCCACCTGCGCACTATAGCTTGCCAGCTCTTCAATAAAGTGATCCTGGCGCAACTGGAATGAATGCAATACAGAAACATGCCCTTTATTTTGTAGCAATTAACTTTTTTCACTTTTCCTTGACCTTTAATATCTAACTGGATAGTTGTACATTTTGGATGATAAAAAAAATCCAGATTCCGTTCAACAGAGATCAATAATTCAATAAACAACAATATATTGGTAGGTAAAGTAGAAACACAGACCTTGAGGCCTTTCTGATATTGCTTTGTCGTTTTAGCAAGGCTCTTTCTTTGTTCTTTAAAGATGGATGGCATGCGCTTAAGCCACTGGAAAGTCTCTGTGTTGTTGTTCATGTGCATTGGTGAGAGCGTGGCAAAGTCCATCAGGACATACAGTTGTGTGATGGAGTCTGCCACTCTTTGCTTCAACAGAGGCATCTCTGTAGTCTCCACTTTATTTATGTGGGCCTGGACACACAGAGCAACAACAGAAACTGGTGAAGTACTTTATTTATATGGCAAGCTGCTCTGTGTGACTAGAATTCAAGGTAGTTACCTTAAGCTCCATCAGTTTCAGCGTATCAGGTGGTGTGTCCTTTGCCTGCTCTGCAATCTTCTCAAATTCACTGCAGAGCCTGTATGAAGGAAAGCATTAACTCTGTGACATATACAAAGGGTTTCACAGAATTCTTATTTCACAGCTTGGAGCTAAGAGGCACCACTGGGATAGAGGCCAATATAGCTGACACAGGACTGAAAACAAAAAAAGTAACTACTGTTCACTCCCTTTGGCCTGCACATTTATTTTGAGGTTCTAGAGCAGCCAACTAGGATCTCTGAAGCATTCCTACGCATATTTCAGCAGATTATATCAAACACAAATTGCTATTAGTGCCTATTGGCTTTTTTTTAATGACAACTTGGTTCAACAGTATTTTGAAGTGTTTGCATGGATGAGGAGAGAATATGTTTGTGCTGTAAATGACAGAGTGAAAAAGGTGAACCAACTGACTTCTTGTTCATTTCCTGATGGTCCTGTAGCATGCGTGTGACCAGTTTGTGCTGTAAATCCTGGGCACGCTTGATGAGAGCGTGAAGGAGCTGATGGGACTGGACCTCAAACATGCCAAGATGTACCACCTAAAGCCCGCAGTAACATAATTAACATCATTTTAAACATGCCCAGTAACATAATACAACAGACTTTCAAAAAGTCGTAGTCATAATAATTGTTGTCAAGGATTTAAAGACTGTTGCTTTTGAGACATTAAAATTGTTTCCATCTTCACGACTGATTAGACACTGTGGGGAATAATAGTTTTCCCTTGAATTAGAGACTGAAGAAACATTAGCTATCTACACCTTAATTCCGTCAAATCAATTGATTAATAAGTTACATGATGTTGCTGTCTTTTCTTTATATCATGCCTGTCTTTTATACATGGGTAAATTAATTTGTTCTAGTTTCCCTATTCCCATCTCGTAAGTCTTATTTAAATCTTATCATATATTAACAGCAGATAGCTGTCTAAAATACAAAAGCAATATGTTACATTTGAGCAAATGGATTGTTATTTTTGGACTATACCTGGCATGATGTGTACTCGATTTGGTCAGAAAGTTGTTGGTAGCGTAGCACCTCTTCCATGACTTCTTGGAAGGTGTGCTGCTCACTAAGGAAGTGCTCCACATCTTCCTCTGCCTGCAGAGATACCAGTGTGGAGTACTTATCGTACTCGTGAACATACTCCCTGAGCCTGAGACACTCAGCCCGGAACACGTTGCACACCTTCTCCATCTGGGCCTGTATGATCTCTGGCAGGATGATGGGCTTAAGGACGTTCCCAAACTGAGAACTTGGCTAGGAAGACATGAAGAAAGGTACAAAAGGCAAAAAAACTTTTTTGTTTAGTGGTAAAGTAGTAGTAAGATATAGAATAGGGCATTAATTTAGAGCATACACAATGTATTATATAACTACTGAGACACACTATTACTAATACTGTCAACTATTCTACTCATTGGTAATTTTCAGCATTACAAATCATACTCAAAACAACACTATGATAAGACGTTTTGTGTCACATATGAAGGATAAAATAAATCTAATCTGTGTATCTGTGTTCACAGACAGGAGAAATGTCTAGCAGAGAAAATAAATTATTAATTCTACCATTGCCTTCATATGTCCTTAAAGTAATCCTAGCCTGTGTTCTTAGCCTAGACCCCATTCACTGCCTTGGACGCACAACCACTGTTTGGTAAAACACAGATCCATCTCTGTGTGGCATCTTAATCCGGTGTGACAAACACAAATGGAGTCACTTAACAGTTTTTCAGAGATAGTATGCACACGTCTTCTTACCCACTCAGGGTACAGTTGGGATTCCACACGAGGTATCATGCTGACAGAACTGCACATGACCTCATAGACATTAAGGAAGGCCTTCTCATACAGTTCAAAGTCAGGCTCAAACGTGATGTCCTTATCCTCCAGGATCAGATGGAGCACAAAGCCTGGGTGCTGATAGGCACACTCTGACTTCTAAGACAGTAGAGAACAAACCAAAACATGGATGTCGATCAAAATCTAGAACTTACTGAAATCACTTATTTCTAGCCCATTCTGTTCTACTCATTGAAAATATGTTTTTAAGCTTTCACCTACCGGATCTTGGGAAATTAGGCTTGTATAGTCCCTTATTGAATCTAGTGCAAGGTTCTGCAGCTGCAAAGTCATCAGTGTAGCTGCACAGTTGAAGAAAGACAACACCTTGGCCCTGCTGGAGGCAGGCACCAGCTTATGTCTGAATCCCTGGTAGTATATGTTTAGCACTTGAGGAATCCAACTAAGGGAAAACAACAAAATCACACTGAACTACACTCTGTGTGCACTGTGCACTTGATATTATTCCTCTAAAAAGTCTATCAAACTTTTGAAAGGTGAAGAGAGCTTCAGTTATGCTTAACTTCTATGCTGATGCAGTTACCAATGTTTTTGCTAATGACAATCACATATAAAAATTTTGTTGTTTTTTTTTTTACAAAAGCATCAAAACAAAAGCTCATTGGTAACATTTTATATGCATCTTTGTGCCCATTCTTGCTACTTATTTGTCATATTAATACAGGCATAAATAAATATTTGCACCACTTCATATGAGTCAGTTTGTATTTGGTAGAGGTCTGTATACAAGACCGTATAAATTTAATTAGATTGGGTAGATATATTTAATATTCTTGTGATATACAGCCTCAGGTCTAAATCTCTCAATTACTGATAAGCAGGAAATTTGCAAGTACTTTTAAAAAATGTCTGGGGGTTGTGCCTCCAATGGCTTCCACTCATTGTTACCACAAAAGAGCCATATTTTACTGATAGCACCTTAAAGATGTCTTTCTTCACAACAACTTATATTCCTGAGTCATAGAAATATCCATCCATCCATCCATTATCTAGACCGCTTGGTCCCGAACGGGGTCGCCGCGAACCCAGAACCTTCTCACGGTGAGGCAACAGCGCTAACCACCACACCACCGTGCTGCCCTCATAGAAATATGATGTATCAATTTTGATATGTCTATTGCTCTTCAAAGTTGAGATTATGTTTTTTGTATATTAAGGTACTCCTGAGCTCTATTCAGTGCACATTCATCTCATCTGTATTCCACAAATACAAGCACTTCTGACTCTGATGGATATTTAACTGAGCTGTACTCAGTTAAATATCCATCTTGGTGTTACATGATAATGTGGACTCACTCTCTGAGGAGGACTCCTCTGGCATGATCAACATGTTGGGTGACAATTTTCTGAAAAACAAACAGCTCCATAGACTCCTCTCTGCTGTGGAACTCCTCTATATTTATCAGACGGAGATTTCTGCAAGAAGGTGAAGCAATAGGCAAACAGGGAACTACTACAGCAATTGTACAGTATTTTCAGGGCTGTGTGAGATAGTATTAATGGTGCCAAAAACTTTACAGACACATGAATCATCTTATGTTTAGCCTAACACCATTTTCTATTATCAAACACTTTGTTACAGGTCTTAAAAAAGACATCCATGGCCATGCCATTAAAACAGCAGCATACATCTGCAAATGCTGCCTGAGATTACAAATACAATGAAAGGTCTGGAAAGTAATTCCCATGAATCTCCAGGGAACCAATCTCTGATGAAAACAAGAAATGATTTATATGAGTTATAACACACATGCTTAACATTTGCTCTCTGAACATATTTTCATTGTTGGCAGGAAAGGTGCCTCCAACTGTTGTTATATGTTGTAGTGTTAATATATGCACAGTTACCATATTTGATGAATAGTACATATTGATACAACACCTTTTGGAATTAATTTCACTGCTTTGGAAATGTATGTGGTCATCTGTAATGTGACGGGAGGCGCAGCGACCACTGATTGGATATACTGACCTTGGGCTCTTTAAATATATATTAAAACATCAACTTTTGATGGAGTTTTAACTAAAGTAAAAATATATATTTATCATAGCATACTCACTTGTAAGAGACATGCCAAAGGTTAAGCACATCCTGCATAGCAGCGTTGTAAGAGTGAAGTTCATCTTTCATCCTCTTTCGTGCATTAACAAAGTCTTTGTTCCAGGGTTTTGGCAATACTGCCACTCTGGCAGTGAAAGATAACAGATGGACTATGAAGAACAAACTTCTTTCACTTTGGCAAAATATAAATTCACAATTCTAAAGGCTTCCAATCACTGTTTATTAGAGCTTTTCCTTGAACAAAGAAAGATAACACATCTACAGTTGCAAAAAAAAGTAATAGCACTGTTTTCAATTTCCTCGTTTTCTGCATAAATTGGTCATAAAATGTGATCTGATCTTCACCAAAGTCACAAATATTAACAAACACATTATTTCTTGCAAAAAAGAGAACTGTGAACAGATCACATTTCATGACTAAAAAAAAGAGATCTGTGAACAGATCACATTTCATGACTAATTTATGCAGAAAACCAGGAAACTGAAAACAGTGACATTACTTTTTCTTGCAACTGGTCTAGTTGTAAGTGTCTCAATATTAAGAATGCTTAGGAAGAGGTACTGTGTACATCCCACAAACATTCAACATTCTCCATCACATCCCGCTTACTTACTCAAGTCTGTGAGGGGGCAGATCCTTGTTCTCCTCACTTTCTCCTGAACCTCTGAATATATATTTCACTGCAACCACAAACAAAAGATATGAAAACAAAAAAAATGTATTAAAACATTGCTATGAACTACAAATTATTCACCCTTTAAGGATTATGTGGTAACAAAAATACATACAGTGTGCTGTCTTGAGGGCCATCAAGTAGTCCTCCTTGATCTCATCGACCAGCAGCTGCAGTGGTATGCTTAGACTCTTCAGTTGCTGGGGGACCTTTTCCAGAATGTTCTCCAGCCAAGAGTCTTCCAGAGGAGACAAATGATCCAGGTCTATCCCCTTCTGGATGTAGTATTTATATCGCTGACAGGGCAGAGTATTACAAATCATTTTCAGTAATGGCAAGGACATTTTAAACAAAATCTAATAAAGTCTTTGTTACAGTGCTGATTACCGACTAATGGAAAAAAATATACATCCAGGACTTCACTGAGATTAAGCTTCAATTTTTGTGGTCCATATGGCTGAGTGTGTAAATATTCCTATTCCACTGGTCAAATCTGACTTCATTTTCCATGCTGTGTACTTGAGTAAAAGCTGTATTTTAATTTATGTCAGCTTTAGCACTCACTACACATAAAAATGCTAAAATTAAAAACAATATACATACTTTTATTGCTTGGCCTTAACACAGGCAGGAAATGTTTTTTTTATGTAAAGCAAACAGATTGCACTAAGAAAGAAACATGCCTAGCAACTGCAACCACTGAGAGCAAGAAACCAAAACTGATGAAAAGGCTACCATATCAAGTGTCTTCAAAAGAGTATGACAAAGAATCAAGGGCATAATGCCTTCAGCTACACACTGAGAGGGATATTTTCATTTAACCATTTCAGGGTCATTTTTTGCTGTAAATGTGGAAGAGCCACATGCTGCAGAGTTACTAAGAAAGAAACATGCCCAGCAACTGCAACCACTGAGAGCAAGAAACCAAAACTGATGAAAAGGCTACCATATCAAGTGTCTTCAAAAGAGTATGACAAAGAATCAAGGGCATAATGCCTTCAGCTACACACTGAGAGGGATATTTTCATTTTACCATTTCAGGGTCATTTTTTGCTGTAAATGTGGAAGAGCCACATGCTGCAGAGTTTCCACCCTCCTCCTCCTCCTGAGGACTAAAAAAGAACAGATACTGTAAATGGCAAAATGGGCTTCGCAACAAATACCACCTTGCTCATATACAGTTAAAGTCAGACGTTTACTTACACCTTAGCCAAATACATTTCAACTCAGTTTTTCACAACTCCTGACATTTAATCCTATGCAATTCCCTGTCTTAGGTCAGTTAGGATCACTACTGTATTTTAAGAATGTGACAGGTCAGAATAATAGCAGAAAAAAAGATTTATTTCAGCTTTTATTTCTTGCATCACATTCCCAATGGACCAGAAGCTTGCATACACTCAGTTAGTATTTGGCTGCATTGCCTATAAATTGTTTAACTTGGGTCAAATTTCAGGATGCCTTAAGTGGCTGGAATTTGAGCATATTCCTCCTGACAGAACTGGTAGAACTGAATCAAGTTTGTAGGCCTCCTTGCTCGCACACGCTTTTTCAGTTCTGCCCACAAATGTTCTATGGGATTGAGGTCAGGTCTTCGTGAAAGCCGCATCAATACCTTGACTTGGTGGTCCTTAAGCCTTTTTGCCATAACTTTGGAAGTCTTTCTGGGTGATGTCTTGAGATCTATCTGTAAACATCTGTTTGAACAATTACTTAAGCCATGCATCAAGTACTGTATATGTTATAATCGACTCGCTAAATGAGAATTTAACATGTTAGCTGTAGAGTGGTTAAAAAAATCAGTTTTAATGACTGACATACTACACTAATGAGTGTATGTAAACTTCTGACATCAACTGTTAATATTATTTCCTGTCCTAATAAGTCTAATTTGCCTGTGGTTTGGTCTTAGTTATTATGGTTTACAGTACAAAGTTGATTTCTAAAAGGTTTTACCTAGAGACTTCATCATAAAAACTAAATTCATTATCTCATTATAGTCAGTCAGGTTCTTCCTGTGCTGCCCAACCATAAAGAGGAAACACTGGTAGAGATAAATACATACATTGAAATGTCAAGACAGGCAGACAAGAAAGCCTAAAAACTATGACAATGTTACAATCACTGGCTAGACTGCAACCGGCATTTTTTATTTTTATATACGTATGTTTTTATCTTTTCTCATATATTGATATAGCCTATGTAATATCTTTTTAATTTATATGTTCTATTTGATTTCTGTCTTGGTTGTGAATCTTTGCTGTATATTTTTGAAGCGCATTAAGTCTATGCCTGTCATATGAAATATGCTATAGACTGTAAATAAACCTTAATTGACTCACTGTAGGAATCTGATCACAGCTGCACGGTAACGCTGGTTCGTTTCCAAGAGTCTGGTGCAGGTGTTGCTGTGGTGCTTAGAGATCCTAAGGCCCTGCATTGTCCTACTCTTCTGGAACAGGTTCTGGCCTATGCCATAACTTGTACTTGGTCCGCAGCCTGCCCTGTCACCCTGCACATCTCCTACACCACATGGGCAAATAGTTCAAAATGAATTGTTGATATTGGATTATGTGTAAAATTATGTGTGTTGTCATAGCAACTGTTTTTACATGCTTGAAAGAATAAATCAAATCAAATCAAATCAAATTACCATAACAATTACAAAAAGTGATCATAAAGCTGATGTTTTGACAAATAATTACCAACTTAAACAAATAAAAACTGAACCCACTTGGCACATTTTCTTCAGGTTGCAGGGGATACAGTGAGAATGATGGCGGTCTTCTTTGGACCTGGACAGTGGGGTTAACCGTTATTTTGATATCGTTTCCACATATAACGTTACGTTAACTTAGGTGTGTCTGGGTAGTAAAAGCACACAGTCAAACAACTTGGAAAAACTGCAACGTAAACTACACTAACCCATTTAGTTAGTTAGTCAACTGTCGACAAAGGCGATACCAAAAAATGTAAACTACACTAACCTATTTAATTAGTTAGTTAACTGTCGACAAAGGCGATACCAAAAAAGTTAAACTTGTCATGACCAGTTAACCGAACGTTAACCAACGTTAACCCTAAAAAGTTATTGGCGTTATAACAGCGTTTCAACCCGGATAACAATGTTGCACCTGGCGATTGTTAAACTTACCTGTGGTGTGATTGGTGGTAAGGACGCCACAGTATCGGTGCCTTTTTTCTTTTTCTTTAAACTCATGCTGATACTTGTGCAAAGCTTGCTGTCATATCCTAACACTAGCGCTGATTCTTTAACGAAACCACTGTGCTGTTGCTAGGGACGTTGCTAAGGAGGCCACGGTGAACTCGCGTGAACTCGCGAGAACTCCTTGGCACCAGCAACTGTTGTGGATGTCTCGATCTGTGCATAAGGCGGTGCTACACCACCTTGTAGTACAACCAACGGCCCCCATCCTAAAATTACTGGCAACCCAACTGGCCCCCCACAAGTGAAAAGCCCTGGTCATTTTAATTCTTTGCAGTATAAACCCGTAAATATCTGAAAATCTGACATCTGACTTCTGAAGGGAGTGTTTTCAAAAAAGGGTTTTTATTTTTGACAAAATTATTTAAATGGAGTGCCATGGTGGTGGTGATTACATTATGAAAATCATTAAAATTATGAAAGTAATAAAGAAATTAAGTAGAAAATCTGATGTGTTGTGTAATTGCATCTGAACTTTAGGTCAGATGTCTTTGCACCCATAATTCATTTATTTATTCTATTCATTACAGATACACCTAAAGCCACTTGGAGAATTTTTGGTCACCTAGAATCTTAACACATCTAAATACAAATTCAGTTCAAGGGTTCAATTAAAGCCACCATCAGCATTCAAATCGTAATTAATGATTAATGATTCATTCTTTGACATATCTCTGTAATTAATGATTCATTCTTTGACATATCTCATGTGAATATGAGCTCAGTCAAGGAATTAAGAAGTATGCAATTACACTATAGTATCTTTACCCTTCTGTTAACTTGCATAGCCCCCCCTTCTAACTAACTACACTCTATAAAACATGGCTTTCCATTTGGCTACTTGTACCTCATATTGACTTCGTATTGTAAATTAGTATGTGATAAGAGAATCAAGTACACACATTCACACTTATTCAAACAATTTAATGCTTATTTACTTGTCATTAAATGATTATTTTTTCCTAATATTTTTGAGTGTTAATTCAAAAATGCCAGAACTGGAAAACTGTCATAAATTTTCCAGCTACTGAAGGATACAAATAAGCAGCTCACCATTAATGACTAACAGTCTCTTGCCAGCCTTCAGTCTCGATCACATACAACTGTATATACAGTACATTGACTGGATACTGTAGTCTACAATCAAAACCAAATTCTTCACATAATGCATTACAACTACCTGTTGTTTTTTTAAATATATGGCTCCCTTAAATCCAGATTACTCAAATGATGGCTCCAAGTAATGCAAGATGATTATTTTCCCATGTCCTAATAAATTAATATGAAGCACTACACATTACAGCGCATGTATATGAATTTCAGTTTTATGTTAATTTCTACATAAATGCATGAAGCTATTTTATTTGTATTAGTTATATGAAAATCATATCAAAAGTGTTTGACAATGACACAAAAACTTGTTTGTAAAAATGTCAAACATTTTTCTTGGTAACGTACAATTACCACTCGTTACCTATTTGAAATATTGCAACTGAAAACCACTTAAAGACCAGGTGGTAAATCTGAGAGGAGGTCATCTTCTCAGTGGCATGGCATCCCTGAACAAAGTACTGCAATCTCCTAAACCCTCTGCTTCAGCCGCCTTGACACCACATCTTCCAGCTGTAAATACTAGTGTGGATTAAAGCATACAACCCTCACCATTTAATGATCCTCCTGGATTACTGCAACACACACTTGATTTTTTACTTTATTTCCCTTAATATATTACATAAAAACTGTCAATACAACTATTTACATAAATATACAAACAATAACTGTGGCTTATAACAACTTAGAAACCAAACCTCAAAAAATATCCAGAATAAAGACAATACCTTGTTTCATGACAAAGTAAAATCCAAAAATGTCCTAACTGTTTTTTCTTTCAATTGATAAAAATACTTATTATATAATCAGTTTCTGCTGTCAATCATAATAAGTTGATACAATAACTTATGCTAACATTATTTGGGATATTGAAGCATGTATAAAAGTTGTATTTGCAGCTGTTTGCTTTGTTCAAAATCACTTAGGACATTTTAGTTTATTCTGAATATTTTGTGAAATTATGTGAGACATCTGTAAGTGAGACAAGTAGCATTTAAACAGTTAGCTCCAAGTACCAGTTTGGAATATTACTGTACAGTATGAGCCTGTGAACATACACACTTAAACATACAATACCAAGCATGTGTAGTGTCTAAGGTGATTTTAGTGTTTCCTTTGGAAATCCCAAATCCGATCTGCAGTAATAAAAAAGACAAAGAAATGTGCAATTCTCCAAGCAATTTTCAGGAGGCTGAGCAGCTGCTCCTCAAGCTGCACACAGAAGTGTTACAGTTTCACCTGCTAGGTCATTGTCTTCAGCCCAGGCAGTGTGAGTTCATACCTTAAGAAGAAAGACAAATTAAACAAAGTGGTTAGAAACTATTTTCTTTTCTGATGTAATGATTGCATTGATTGATGTTCTATGCAATTATATTCAGCATATACTTCAGCTTAGTTCTGATACAATGCAAACAACTTTTAACTCCATTTAGAGCAAAGCATCAATAAATATTTGCAGCAACTGTTTCACTGCAATCGTAAAAATGTAGCAAACTGAGCACATACCAGTCTGTGACGCCTTTGACTAAATCCAGCTGTGAAAGATCCAGCAGCACCTGTGGACAGAGGCAGAACTTGTCAGCTATCCACACTGAGATGGAAACTGCTAATGTGGGACAATGCTACGTAGCAGTCAGGAATCTCGTTCTGCACTTATCAGATAAAAACCAATTACAACATTCAACCATAATGAACCAAAGTTGGAGATGTAGAGGCTGCCACTTTCTAACAGCATAAATATTTCAACTGCCAACAGCCTCTGAAATCATGTGCCAGGAATAAAAAGACACGGTTCCTCACAAGCAGCATTACCTACCATGCCAATGTCCTTTCTCTCACGTGTGTGGAACATTTTGTTGTTTTTCACAGCCACATCCAACTTCCTAGTTTGTGCTTCCTCAAGTGTCACATCAAAATCAAACCTGAGATAAAAGGCAGAAAGAAAAAAGTGCCAGGCAGGGTTTCAGCCAATGTGCCTTTAATACAGCATAACCATGTGAAGTTGTTAATCAGGAAAGCAACTGATAAAAATGAGCTTACTTGTCATTGTATTCAGGATCGACTGTCTTCCTCTTGACATGTGTTCTCTTGCGGTGTCTCCAGGTTTGATCAGGGAGCAAATACAGGCGGACATAAGAGTCCGTGCCATTCTGACTGCAGGGGAATAAGTTCCTGTAGGCAACAGGTACATACACTGACTTATCATAGCCAGCTTTGCATTTTGTTCCTTATACAGTTCTGATGAACAGCTTGAATTTCAGTATCAAATAATAGAAAGATCATTCTATGCTTCATTACAGAAATGTTGTGTTTTGTTATGATGGATTCAGTCACAGCATTCAAACAAGTAAATACAGAATACTGGCATCTAAATACAATGTAACATAAAACGGTTTCTGACATTCTGCCAACTGGGCAGCGCTGGTGAGGCTGGCTTTCTCTGGCGTACCTGCATGCATTAACCAGGATGATGAGTTTGTTTCTCAGGGTGGCATAGCGCACAGTCAGGTGGATCTCTCCAAAAGAACCCTTATGTTTCCTGATGGCCCTGTAGTGATAAAAACACATTTATGAATGTCCCTTTTATTATTGGTCCAGTTTATGTGGAAAGACTCAAAGTCAGCACATTGCCTGACAGAGAGGTGACACAAAGATCTAAACTTACTCTGGATACGAGGCTCCGTCTGAAATGTCAAAACGTGAAGAAGCAATGGAGTTGTCAGACAGCAGGCTTTTGGAGTCATACCGACGGATGCTTGATGCGGAAGGAGGCGACCGCCCGCTTTCAGAAGTCTGACCACGGCTGTGAGATGAAAAGCCGTCATTAGAGCCATTCTGGGAATCCGCTGCTCGTACTGGAGCTAGAGATTGAGCTGGAGCTGCGGCCTGGGTAATGACGTTATTGGTGGAGGAAAGTGCTGGAGAAGAAGAAGTAGCAACGGAGGCCGTGGGCACAGAGCCATTAGTTGCTTGGTTGGCCTGGCCTTTTTGTTGTTGTTTGACTTGTGGAGGACTGGAGACATCCTTGGGCTTAGGCTTGTCCACAGTGAGAATCTGTTGTGGGGTTGAAGACACTGCTAATGTCAATGACAAAATGCACACACATGAAAGTAATAGCACTATGACTTCCAAGTTCTCCTTAACTAAGTATTTGGTTAAAAACATCTGAGTCACATGACTTGGAAACAGATGGTAGCAACGAGGAACTTTACTTAAAAATGACAGACAGAGTATTAGCTTTGAAGAGGAAGCTTATGAATGTTTCTATGGTATATAAAAGACTCTCATTGAACTGATGGTGTGATATGCTTGAGCTGTCAAAACATAATGCAAGTTTCTATGTACCCACCCTGAGAATGGCCTTCAGTTTGATCTGGCTGTTTGCGCCGGAGCGCTCCAACTGGAAGCGCTGGTCCAGTGTCATGTTGGAGGTGTTGAGGAAACGAGTCAGGGGCAGGTTCAGACTGCCCAGCAGAGTCTTCTTCTCACTCTCTTTGACCTGAATCACGACACACCGACATATTAAAAAAATTTAAGTCATGAATAAATTAAGGTTTCTACCTCCTGGGGATATCTGACTGACTGACAGGTTTTATTCTTTGCTAGTTTCTATGCACTTGCACAGTTTTCCATTAGTCAGCGGTCTTTCCTCAGTTTTCTAATGAGATAAATGAATATTCACACATGCAGGTTCAGGGATTTCATTTCAGAAACGGTTAAGCTGCATGATTCAGTTTGAGGCCTTTATAATAATAATAATAATGTAACTTTTGTTCCATACAAACCTATAATCACAATGGCAGGCTGTCCTGGGATCAGATTGCCATCTCTAGCCACATACTGTACATGTACATATTGTGGCTTTCACATCAAGTCTTTTCAGTTCAGTTTTTTGAGATTTTCAACACTGATCATTGGAGATTATTCCACAACAAGTATTTTACAATATTTTAAGACACAACTGAGTCACTTCTTCTCAGAGAGAAGACCTTCTGTATGTTTTGGACATTACTGTATATTACCAACCTGAACAATGAGCTGCTGAGTTTTGACATTACGCACAAAGAAATTGAAGCCCTGCTCCCACACCGGATCTTTAGATGCATACACGACCTGAGGAAAGAAGACAATGAGTAGTTTTAGTGGCATCAGGACAGACAACTAGGGTATTGTATGTTGTCAAACATTTTTACGCCACACAGACCTGTCATACTGGAGGGAAGCATTGCTCTCTGATAACTGATAAAAAGAAAAATGGTCTATCAGAGTACTTAAAGAGAGCAGTACAGTACCTTGCTTTTCTGAACATTCTCATCAATGGAAAACTCCACAATGGAGTTGGGAAGGGGAGTCCTCTTTGTGAGCTGAAAAGCAAAACAAGTCAGTTATACTCTATTATCACTGCTTAAATAAGTCTGTTTCTGTGAGCGTGGGTATTAACATCAGTTTAGACAGAGGTAAATAAGGGGTTTTATAATGTCTTTGTTCAATGAAAATGGAAATCATAAAAATATGTCCTTATTTTGGCCAGTTATCAACTCTACTTTATGTTCAACTACTCGATCATACTCTATCTCAACTGCTTTCAGTGCTTGTTTCCCCACACGATACAATTCTGCTATTAAAATGTTGTTTTTACTTTTTAATCCTAAAAAAAGGCAGCCATCTAAAAGCTAATGCTGGGAGTTTCTCTATAGGCAGTCTGTTGTTCTACACACCATCAGGGATGTGTAAATGAGAAGTAACCATTTATTAATTTTGGAGAACAATGCTACTGGTGGGAGCCACAGCTAGCATGTTAGTATGGGCATGGCTGACCATATTCATTTTAACAAACCAGGTTAATAAGATCTACATGAGCAAATTTCATCTGTGGCACTGTGGGTGTATTTTCACACAGTGACCAGCAGAGGGCAAACCGAGACAACGGCTTCTGCTGGCAGTTAAAGTGAAAACAGTTCTGAGACACCACAGGGATCAGAGAGTTTCTTTAAATAATTATCACAGTGTGTTTATAGTTACCTACATTACCAGGTGGGGCTCATAAAATGAGCTCAAGTTTGAGTAGGTCAAATGTTAGTCAGAGAAATAGTAAAGTAATCTGCGACCTCAATGGCATTTCTTCACGTCCTATCTAACAAACATAAAAATCCTTTAAAAAAACAAAACAGTGTACTAGACATTTGCTTTATTAATGACTTATTATTTTGAGAAACTCCTCGCCACAAAAACCAAGCAAGATGAACACAAGCTATAACACACCCTCATAAAATGACAAACACACCCAACAAACAGGAAATACCAGCTCTGAACAGGGACCAGTACACCCGGAGCACTAACAGAAGCCATGTGATCTGACTGAGGCTTTTGACTGACATCAAGATCAATTTAAAAAAGAATGATTAGTCTAAGTATGAGGCAGTAAAGTGAAAGAGAAGCAGCCACTCGGAGCACTAACAGAAGCCATGTGACCTGACTGAGGCTTTTGGCTGACATCAAGAGAAATAAAAAAAGAATGATTAGTCTAAGTATGGGGCAGTAAAGTGAAAGAGAAGCAGCCACTCCTTCGTGCCCTAAGCCCAGTGATATGAACAGGTTCTGTTGGGAGAGGAGGCGGGTCTGTACGTAACAACAGCAACAAAAAAACTGGTTTAAATGCCTTAATATACTTGTGTCGCATCAAGTACAGACAAATATTTTACAAACATTATGGGTCTTCTGACCATATTAATGTTAAAAAAATTAGATTAGTTTCATTAACAAGAGCAACTTTAGGTGGAAATGCTTAGAATTTACAAATGAATATGGATTTAACTTATATCAAGATTTGAGGGAAATAAATGTGACAGAAATGTCATTTTTATTACTAATTACTTTGGGAAACAGCTCATGAAATGACACACAGCTACAGAACTGTATGTCTTGGCAATTAATCAAACTACAACAAACCAGCGGAGACAATGGATACAGAGCATTAGGGGCCGCTGAGGGTCCGAGGTCCCTAAAGTCAGCCCGGTCCCTTCTCACAACAACTCGGGGGACAGAGGACAGCTGACATAATCACAAAAGCACAGCCTTATGTGACAGTGCTCTAAGCTTTACAAGCTCTCATCTTACCTGGGGTTCCTTTGCGTGCTTCCCGTGTTTCTCCTGTTTCTGACGTTCGGTAATCTCACGGTGTTTCTGAAGACAAACGCATCAGTACATTTGTTTATCCACAGTGAATCATCTGCTCCCAACAACAACAGTCCCTGTAAGAAACCACTTACTGGCAGGTTTGAGGCATTGTCCAGATACACTGCGAGCATTGCACAAGCGAGGCCATCTGCAGACTGGAAGAGAAGAGGGGGCAGAGAGCAACTGACTAACAGCTGGACCAGCAACTCATGTTACACACAGTCATCCTACGGTTGAGAGGGCTGGACTTGTGGCCAGTTGAATAAAAATGTTAAAGAAAATCTGGATGGAGCAACAATGGGGCTACCTCCTTTAGCAGGCTGGAGTCCGTTTGAAGGGAAAGCCACTGGAGCTTGAGATGAACTTCTCCATTCGCGATCCCCTCCAGAGTAAACCACTACAACAGGCACAGAGATTCATTTAGAATGCTCACTCAACTTCTGACACATTTTACTGTGGACTCATAACTAACAGACTGCCACCACTGATTGAACTATATGAATCTACAGTATTTTACCAGTTAATCATTTGTTTTCCATTTCTAAAATGCTGCTGCAAAGTCTCAACATACTTCAGTTAAAACAGTAGGAAACAGCGCTCTGTGCTGACAATACCACCTTTTCCTAGTGTAAAAACAAAACATGACATGTACATACTAGGTGCAAATCCCTGTATTCAGTACAACCACATGAAATACAAGCTCACCTGATCTATCTCTTTCTCCCTCCTCACTTCTCCAAAATCAAGGTTATACCTAATGCAGAAAGTTCACTGTCATAATGAATGCTATAAGATCACTGGTACAGTATGCTGCATGGTGAATACAATACACGTGGCTTACTTTCCAAGGAAATCATCTTTGTCTGTGTCCTCATCATACAGCTCCAGTTCGAGTTCTTGTCCCGGGGCCTGATGGACGACAAACTGCACACCGATAAAGAAAAGGTGGATGTTTATTAAATGTCTTTTAAATTGGACAGTCAAGGGAAAGATCCATTTCCCTTCACAGCACATTGAATTGAAATAATAAAAAGCCATTTAGAGAAAAACCCCACAAAGATTACACATAGTAAATGATGTTAGAAGATGAACATTACACCTGAAAGTCCAGTCAAACTGCAAGTTTTCAAACAATGAGCTGCTAACAATGATCTGAAAAGCTCTGCAGTGCACTTTGTGCCAGAAACTATGCACATCTTTTATCTTAATCAAGGAAATATCTGATGGAATTGTAGTAGTTTGCCTGTTTTGCGTACCAGAACACTGTGCATGTGAATAAAGTAGTATTCCTATTATTGAAACCAAAGTATAACAATTTGTTTTTAACCGACAGCTGCTGTATGTTACTCTACCTCATACACTTCATTCCATACTGGGTTCAAATTCTGTTTGATGGTCTTGGTCTTGAAAAGGCGGTCTCCAACTCTGAGTTTTGCATAGGGGTCTGATTTGCCTTTCACTAAACCCATCATATATGTATCCTTAGCCACCAGGTCTCTGGCCTCTAGCACATGGACCCTCACCACGCCCTGGGGAGCACAGGAGGAAGGTGAGATTTAAACTTTAAAATAACACCATCTTTAAAGAAATCTATGCCTGCATATTCAAAAAAGCTACCATATTTCAAACAGCAGCAAAGTTTTAATTGTATTATTTTTGTAAGTCATTTCTATCATAAAATGCTTAATAGTAATTAAGAATGCAACAAGATCAAGGTAATTAGATGAAGTGTCTTACATACACAAGGCAGCGGGAACCTCATATGGTCCATTTTGACCTGATCTATGAGGGGAAAACACATGCGGTTGGGCAAAACCATGAGCGAAGCAATGATGCCCAAGATGGTCTCCTCAGAAAAGGACCTGGAAAGCCACAGATGAGAGGAGAGAGCTGTACAACTAAACAACAAAGCACTGGGGTGACTATCAAGACCCTGTTTAGGCTAAGAGAAAAGGACTTTAAGAGGCAGTGGGTTTTCTGTGAAAACTAACCCAAAGGCAGGACTGTCCAAAATGCTGGTAGCGCCAGTCCAGGTGATTTCTAAGGTCTGAAAAAATAGAGTTTAATTAGAATAAATAAATCAATTCACACAGCTTCATTGCCACAGTATTGTAATAAAAATGTCATATGGCACTCACCGGACAACGTATGAAAAAAAAGGTGACACCTCCCACCAGTGGTGCTTGACCAATGAGAGGATCTAAAATAACCCTCAGCATCCCCTTGAGCTGGAGGATACAAAACCAAGAGAAGTAAACACAACACGTACAGTACGTTGAGGGTAAAGGTAATGCAGACAACAAATGAGACGCTCACTTTGATTTGTTTGACACCAGCTGTGATCGGTGGCTTCACCACAGCGTTGATGTCCACGTCACCTTCGTAACTGCAAAATGAACAGTGCCGGTGAGAAGGAAATGACTGTAAGGGACAACAGGACACAGGCACACCCAGCTGGCTCTGGTTCAGAGTTCAATGACGTTGAAACAGACGGAACCACACACATTTAACAGCAAATGACAAGACAGAAACAGCCCTAAAGTGAACCATACTGTACATGTAACCAACCTTATATACATGTCCAGAACAACCTCCCTCTGATCCACTTCATGTGTGTATGCTTTTATTCCAGTGATCCTGAAAGGCTGCAATTACAGAAACATTTTAAAACGCCCTCCTTGACCTTGTTTAATGAGACACTACAACCCGTTTACCAGATGCAGGAGTACTGGTTTTTTAAAAACATGCAACCAGTAAAATCTTTGGTTACTGCTTAACTGAACACAGGAATATTCAGAGGGATTTAAACAGCTTCGATAACGGATTGAGCATGAACGTGAGTAACGGGTGTAAACAGTTCCAACTCACTCTGTTACCAAAGTGGATCTTGGTGAACGTGAACATTTTGAGTGCGGCATTTGAGAGCCTGATGACCGGCTGGATGTTTTCTTTAAGGAGCTTCTCCATGTACATCCCAAAGAAAGGCCAGGCCTGCTCCACCACCTGTGCACGTGACAAAATGAAGCATATGAAAACCTTTATTCAACACCTTGAGCAGCCTGCAAACATAAATTAACTTGTAACAGTAAAATGGAGGGAATACTTAAAGGCACTATGCATCAAACTGTTTTAACAGCAGTCATCCACAGACGTGTTAAAGGATACAAATACCGACAGTGTGGACATGATGGCATTGCTGGGGTGAACAATTAGATCTATAAAAACTGAAAGATACATGTTGCATCATGTCATAAAGCCACCTGAGATAACAGTACAGCACCTTGTTAATCCAGTCTGCTTTCTCAACATCAGAGAAATTGACCTGTAAAACAAGACGTGATAGTTAAGTTAGAAGTGAGTCTAATTTCCAGTAAGTAGTAATCACAGAGCTTGAGTGGTACTGTCCAGCGCAAATGACACAGTTGCATGCAGTGAGAATATGTGAGAATTATGTTCTTAAAATATTAGACATTATTGTTTTGGCTGTTAAAATAGCACTGATATATAAATCATGCAAAATTGTAACATGGATTATGAGTAAAATTAGTCCCTATTAAATCTGTCAAATTAAAAAAGATTTCTTTGGTTGATCCAACTTGGTAGGAGTTATGGTAAGTCGGAATGTTTTATTTCATGGAGGAGCACAGCAGTAAGCATTGGGCTTACCAGGGCTTTGCTTCAGTGTCAAACCTGTGGACTGCCACAGAAGCTTGGAATCATGGATCTGATATGTTCTGCCTACAGTGCTAAAGAGGGACAACATCCCAAACTCAGGCGCTTTATTAAAGACATATAAATTATAAAATAAGCTTTTATAATGGGTAAACCTGTATATCTTTAAATGCAATTCTGCATATACTAAAATGTGTGTCTGGGGTTTTTGGTAGGCTATAAAGTCTACACACCCCAAAGACAGTTAGTGTCAGTACAGAAACTGGCTCCACCAGTCAAATGTGATGTGTTTTGACAGCTACTGCACATGTTACATTCCTCTGACACAGAAGATCCCTTCTTATTGTGTCTCCTTTGGCTTCCCAAAAATCACTCTTTGACTGGGTGTGGTGTAATCAAATGTGCAGAGGCTCCTGCAAATTAGCAACACATTGGCTGGGTTAAGCCACTTCTGAGTATGGGAGGCCTGGCCCAGGGCTGGCATGCCATGCAAATAAAGTGGATTGTTGTGTGGGTGAGATGACGTCCTACAGTACAAGGTGTGATTCAGGATCTTTTGCACAACTTGGCTGTAAACAGTTTGATCAGCAATTTCAATTGCCCCAAAAAACAGAGCTGGACCTTAGAGTGGAATGCTGCCAAGCTGAATCCAAACAGCAAAAGTCTGTGATCTACTGAATCCCACATTAGACCCATACGTACCCATGTTACCATCTGTAGAGCACTTTGCAGCTCCTTGTTGATCGCAGTCGTTTCATTGTCCACAAATTCTATAGCGGCTCCGGTCTGAGCGTCTTTATGTTTGCTGTTCTTCTTCCACCAAGTGACTATCATCAGGGCCAGTAGTTGCCATCGGGTCGGACACCCTGTTACAAAAACCTAGAACAGCTGTTTACGCTCACTGCCTGAATAGATTTGTGTTTTGCTTATTTCTACTCCTGTACGACGTTCTAGAGAAAAATAAAGCAGATAAGCAAATCTTCCGCACTCACCTCGGGCGCACAGCCGTCATATACTTAAAACTTCCGCGTTTGAAACTCCCAAAACGCAGGTAGGTACACCTGCGCCCATGGGTGGGGAATGCGCTCACCAAGAAAAGACTTCCACCGTGCAATGAATGCCATTAACAGCAGTGTAAATTAGTTTAATATTCAGCTTTTAGCAATATTTTTATAGCATGTGGTCTGTTACGTTGGTTTATTTTTGCCACCTGCAAGATGCCTGTTTCGTTGTTGTCTGATTCTTTGTGCGTACTAATCTTTCAAAATCATCTCTATATGGCCAATATACGTACTGCAGTCATTCTGTCATTTGCAAAGCTCAAAATCACAACCACTACTTTGGCGCACAGATGCGGTATGCGCTGCAGGTGGCGCCGGAGAGTTAAGTAGAGGCTGTCATTTTAATAAGGCTGCGTCGTAACAGGTATGAGGTCTGTCTGCAATATTGTCTCATCTGCTGACTGTATAAAACATATGTTCTCACCTAAGTGTATACATGTGCAGACAAAAAGCACATTTTGAGCTTTGAGAAAATTTAACATTACAAAGAACCTTTTTAAAATGTTAATACTTTATTCTGGAGGAAATCACTGACACAAACACTGGTTCCTGGGTTAATGTATAAACCTTTATTCTCAAGGGGAAAAAAAGAGGCAAACAGTGTTTATGAATACATTTAGAAACTGCTTAGCCAGCATTTATCATGTTAATATTCTCATAGTTGGTGAATTAATGCTTGATTTTAAATATTAAGGTCCATTGAAAGGAGTAAAAAGCAGGCTCTTCTATTATTTTGTTTGGGGCATATTTTTCTAAATGTGTTTCTGTATATGTCCATGAGGAAATTGTTGGCAATTCCCAACAGGAGGGGTTTTACATATTCTAGTGATCAAAGGTGTGTGACAGAGAAGGGCTGCGTGTTTGTCAGAGGAAACTACTAAAAAACAAACATGAAAACAAGCAAACAAAACTGCAACCAAAAAACCAAGATGTGAAAACGATTCAGTTTACTATGCATGCCGTCCTAATATAAAAATGTTTTACATAAAGCTTGGGTAATTACACTAATAGAGGAAACAGTGTGGCCTTGCAGTGTATTGACTTTTATTTGTGCAGTCTTGTTTATTGGAAGAGCAGTTAACTTTCAGTTTCCCTTTCAAAATCAACAGTGGTTGTTAACCTGACTTGTACATACTTTTGTTATCACATGATTCCCTGGAACAGAGCAGGTACTTTCCATCGGCCTCCCAGGAGCCATAAAGACTCTGTGTACAAGGTTCAGTGAAGTTACACAGCACTTTTGTTTCCGGCTCTGCTCCATTTTCTTTTCATTCACTGATTTCTGCTTGCATGATAATTCTGTAGTATGTTCAGTTAGATATTTCAAGGCATTACTGTATATGGGCCTGACTAATAACTGATCCATCTGAGCATCATGGCTATTGTAAATCATTATATGGCATTTATTGTACATTCACACCAAATCCAGATACATTAATCAGGTGATGATTATCGAAGTGTTCCTTTGATTCAAAAGGCAGTGCAAACTGTAAGGCCTTTGTTTTGGTTAAGTGCATGCAAGTGACATTCAAGTGAATGTAATCAAGTATTCAGGATAAGCCTGGGTGTCATGGAAGATAATGAACATCTTGGGCCTGGCCGCGTTGTCCACAACACTGTCGTACTTCTGTACGGAGGTGCTGCTCCTGGCTGGTGGTACAATCATGTTTTGTTGTCCAACAGTGTAATCCCCCGTCAGCACTTGGCAGAGGTACATACACTTTTCCCCATTTGTTGGATTTGGCTTGGAGTAGGTGTCACTGGCAGAGTAACTAGCATTGACAGCAAAGTATGTGCCATTGCCATAACATGCAGCTGTAAATGGAAAAGCAGCAGAAAGTTACTGAGTTAATCTGTTAGATATTTGTTATAATCAGCTCATTCATGGTAAAAATTCAGAAATGACCAAATAACAGTCATGTTCTGATCATCAATTAAATTAACTAGGAGCAGCTGCAGCCACCTCGTAGGACTTTTCTGTCAGCCTACAGGATTATGCTGAGTATGTGACTGGATACATTAGTACCTGTATTGACAACATTGTGCCCACCATACAAGTCAGGAGGTTCTCCAACCAGAAACCCTGGATAAACAGTCAGGTACGCCACATGCTGTGTGCTCACTCTCATGCATTCAGATCAGGCAATGAGACGGAGTACAAAGCTGTGAAGTACAGACTGAGGAAAGCCATCACAGCGGCCAAGAGGCAGTACAGAGAGAAGCTGAATGGCTTCTATTCTACTGCTGACTCCGGACGGATGTGGCAAGGCCTGCAGCACATCACAGACTACAGGACCACCACCAGCATCATCAGCTCCACAGACAGCCTGC